CGCCAGCGCAACCGGGCCTGAGCGCCAGGCTGTCGGCAGCTGTCACACACACACACACACACATGCACACACACACATTCACTCAATGGGACTTAATGAAGGAGAAAAGACACTAATTATCACTTTGCGTTTGTCACTTTGGAATGGTGCGGGTGGATTTTTGTTTAGTTTTTTTTTTTTTTTGTGCGTGTTTTCTATGTTTGTTGTTTGCACATTAGCTCTCGAGTGATTGACGAGGCCACAAGCCATTCTGAACAGCAAGCTAGAGATGGATCTTTGGAGGAGTCTCATGGGCTGGAAAATATTTCTATTCTTTCAAATGCTTATGCTTCCCCTTAATAAAGAATGAATTAAAAGAAAGTCATTGCTTGCTACTGGAAAGCCTGCAGTTAATGCTGCAGGTTCTTTTTGATGAACTGCTACAACTGTGCTGTTAACTGCTGTATGGTCATGGTCTGATAGCTCCCTGTGTTGAGGCCCTTCATTTTTCCCCCCTTTTAATTTCCGGATTTTTATTCCTCGCTCTAAACGTTTTTTCAGATTTCCTTTCACTCTCTGATCATTTTGATCCATCAGACGTCTCGTTTGATTCTCCTCTTATATATCTTTTCATGTCCGCACGTAAAGTTTAAGTTTCTTGGTCAACGCACACTGATCGACAAATGCGTGGGCCTGTAATTGACCTGTACTGAGCCAAGCTGCAGCGGTGTCACATCTCCATATGCCCTTATGGGCTGAGTATCTGCTGAAAAGGTAGCAGGTTTCCACAAACTCTTATTTTTGTTCCTTCCACTCAGCAGCAGTTTATCAACAGTTTCAGCTGTAGCGTCACGTTTTTGCCATTGTTTGGAGATGTTTTCGAGCAAGAGTCTACAAAATTTCTGTGAACCCTGACCCTGGTCGTTGTGTAATAAGACCAGCCAAAGGAGGAATGAACTGCTGATTCTCTTTGATACCCTAAAGAACTCTGGGGGGGGGGAAAAAAGGAGAGCAGCTTGAATTCAGTCTGTATGTCCTTAGAGATGCCAACGTTTGCTTGGAGATGAAGCCCACTGATTTTTAATGGTGTTTTTTATTTTTCTTTTTGCTTTGATTGTAAAGCCCTTAGACGCCTTTCAATGTACATAGAATATACTATGGGATGTTATGTATATAGTACCCTTTCTGTACAGTCCCTTTCAAACCAAAACCAGAGCTGTCTACTCATCTTAGTTTCTGTTCGGCCCTGTGTACTGAAGCCAGGGTCAGGCTTGCTGGCTTTTCAAAGATTAACTCAAAAAGCTTCTATTTTTGTTAATAAAATGATTATGGGAAGAAGAAAAAAAAAGAGTTGAAATAAACACTCATTGATCATTGATCACACTAGCCACTTTGTTTAAACATTTCTTTCTCGTTTTGTAAAACCTACTTGTTTATAATTACGTTCTCTCGTTTTTAACTTTTTCTTTTTTCTTTATTTGTACAAGTCCAGAGTTGACAAAGTTTGATACTATATTTTCCTACCGAGTTGTGTTTCAGTGTGAGCTAATGACTATTTTTGCTATGTAGCTGGCGGGCTCTACTGGTGGATTATGTGCTGAAAATTGTTAGGTCTGCTGCGGCTCTCTCTTTGTCTCTGGAGGGCAACGCACCAAAAAGCTCCCGCGTTGAGCCGACACTTGAAGCTGTAGTGCTCTTAACCCTGGTGTGAAGAGCGGGTGGAGATCTACTGATTATATATATATTTTTTTAATTTTCCCTGACTCTCATTCCCTTTTTTCCCCTCTTCCCTCCAAGCCAGTTTCTCCCTATTGTCAGAAAAGCCATGTCCCACTATAGCACTGCATCTAGTACTGTTCACAACTGAATCTCAGTGACTTTCAGCCCCAGATTATATCAGCACTCAGGAATCCATGTGATCTGTAGTTATCGTCGTAATGTCTTTAAGAGACTGTACTTGAGGGAAGGATGTCCAAAACTTAATTTATTTTTCTCTGTTCATGAGATCAAACCTCCCAAACCGCCTTCAGAGATGAGAGAGAATATCAGAATTAAAGCATTTGTAAAGAAATATTTCAGGATGTCGACATTAGTTATATATTTTTATATAACTAGCACAATTCACCAGTAGACCTATTTTTTTCCAAAGTGTTCTCCCAAGAGTGGGTTTCACACTTATTTTCATTTGTTTGGTAGCAGTGATTATTGGTTGCTAACTTTAGGAGTTTATTATGGTAATTTCAGAGCCTTGTCTCAGCACTTTGTTTTTTTTTTCTGTACCTCATAAGCCTCTGTGTATGAAAAGTAAGTCGGAAAATAATAAATTTCATTGTTTGACATCGAAAAATGTAGGATGTGTTTTTTGTTAACACACTTATGTTTCACAATATCAGGAAAAAAAGAAACAAAGTTGCAAAATTGCATGAAAAACTGATTTTCAGCAAAAGACAATCAAAACGTGGGAGAATATCAAATGTGTATGAAGGAAGTTTAAAGTGCTGAAATAACAACTTTGCAAGGCCATGATGAGCAGAAATGACTTATTTGAAGCTCCTGTCTGCTCCAACATTTGCAGCATAGTAAGATATAAAAGAAGCTTCCAGACCAATTCACTAACAACACAATGCTATTTGGGGGCTAATAGGATTGAATTTTGTAGAGCTTGTAATTTACTTCAAAGATACAAAAAGGTCCTTCAAGTAATAAGAGCCTACAACTAATTTTCCTTTTTTTGTCATTTAAACCCTATTTATTTGAACTTTTTTCATTTGCAAAACTACGTGATACACAAATGATAGGGTTGATGTGGATACGCAGTATTTTCTTTTTATCTAAAGGATGTTGCTTTCAAATGAATCAATGACCACAAAAGCCACCTGTATGAGTGAGCACACAGCTCCCTCTCCCTTGTCCACCATTTGTTCTCCACAGCCTCTTGTGTAATGCATCCTGGCATCTTTGCCATGGCAACAAGCATCTTTGCTCACCACCTTTGAGGCTCTGACTGTTGCCATAGAAATGATATCAACTAGGGCTGCAGGCAGAACAGAACAGAACAGAACAGAACAGACCCCGGCACCTCAATGTGTGTGTTGGGTTTTCATACAACTGTAACCCGGGTCCCAGGCCTTCAATGCTACGCTAGATTTAAAAAAGAAAATTCTATTAACAGTGCACCTAACTTGTATAGCACATACATGACAATGCAAACATTAAGATGTAAAAGATACATAGTAAAATATTTTATGACACCATGCAATGGGAAAAAAGTAATATAATACAATTATACATTTACGTATTATAATAAATATAAAAATGCTGCAATATTAGCAATGTTAGCAAAACAATAACACACAAACGTATATACTTTATGTATAAAACATATTTGAATTTATTGTCCTTTATTGCCCAGAGAACTTTATTTCAGCCCCTGTACGTTAATGACATTTAATGATGCAGTTATGGACGCGCTGGGTCAAAATGTCTCGCTCGTTTTCTTAGTGACGCACTTCAAACGATTTATTCCTAAACTAATATAATCACGTTTCAATAAAATGTGAAGCCGTGGCCGTTATTTACATCACGGAATCAATAAACGTCACCGAAGAATATTTTTATGTAATGCGTAACCACAGTAACGGCTGCCTGTTGCCTAGTGACAAAGCCCGTCCCCTCGTCGCTCAACCGTCCGCGCATGCGCAGCTGCGTCAGCAATGCCATCATGGCGGCATCCAGTAGGAGCGTGCAGACCGTGCTGCGGAAAGCGGTGGTCCCTTCTCTGGTTGTTATTCTGGGAGCTACCGGCACCGGCAAGTCCAAGCTGGCCATCGAGATTGGAAAACGCCTGAAGGGGGAAATTATCAGCGCCGACTCCATGCAGGTAAGAGGCGCACTGACGCACACGCAGACCTTGTCATGGCAGCCATAATGATACTCGTGCTGTTGGAATAAAAAGGTCGAATTCAGAGATATATTCAGAATTCTAACCACGCAGGACGGCTAATTGTGCAGCTCACCAAGGTATTTGCAGTAAGTGAAATGCGTGTTTTTGCACAACGCCTGCAAAATGAATGTAAATGTTTATCGACTCATGTGCAGCTCGTAGACTTAATGATCAGAATCAATCAGTCTGGTCTGCAGCCACAGCAGTCTACACCACAGAGCCATGTAGGCCGGTGGGTCTGTGCTGACTGTTAACTGATTTAAATCTTCCTTTGCTACAGGAAGTGCCTTGGTCACAGGACTAACAGAGTGTATACATTGCTTCGAGCTTGCTTTATTTGTGTTCCCGTACACCTCCAACACTGGTCTGTCAAAGAGTCTAAAATGATGTTCTATTTGGAAAACGTTACGTCTGCACGTCATGTAGATACAAATGGGATTTTTGTGAAATTAACTACTTATTTAACTACTTAAATCCTCCTCCTCTAAAGACCGGCTCAATAAACAACCCCAGCTTACTTCTCCACCTCATTTATCATTTGTATTTAAACAACAGCTCTGCACCAGAAGACAGCAGCTAATGGAGAAATGATGTCAGGACAGTCCGAGGGTACAGTCTCTGAAAGTGAGGGCAGCGTTTCATATATTTTATGTGACCCATTTAGATGACTGAAGGATTGATTTTGTATAATATTTTGGAAATTTATTGTGCTGTAAAAGACAATACTGTATGTTTCTTTTTAAAAGTTAAACCTAAACAAGACAAATGCCATAATAATAATACTATTTATAGCATTTTTTTAAGGAGGAAAGACTCGACGTTAAGCAGGGATTTGATGGTGTGAATATGTTTTGAGAGG